TGGAGCTGGAGAGTATTGCAGCTTCTCCAAGCTGTACTGTGAGAACCAGCAATAGTGTGGTGGAACTTGTGGCCCTTCCCAAGGCCACAACTCTTATGGCCTGCAGATGTTAGTCCATGCATCTCCCTGTGCTTGTGGACTGTTTTGGTGATCCACTGGGTGTCAGGATTTCTTCTGGTAGCTTTGTGGAATGAACCAATAAAGAATTTGTGGAATCTTCACCAACCCAGTAAGAATTCAGGACTCTCAGAGCCCCACTGCGACATCCATCTCACTCACTACAGACTGAAGGCTTCAAGCAAACTTTAGCTGGTTAATACTATGATGGACAGGCGTGCCATAGGTTGCACCCTTAGGAAATGGACATTTGTGGCCACCGCAGTGCACATGAATCCTGCATTTTATCTGGCCAGGTTGGGTGGGAGCCCTGTGGAGCACAGAGAGCTTGCGGTACTGCCAGCCATGGACCCTCAGAGGAAAGTGCATCACATCTGACTGCTTCTTCCTCCATAGCTCCTGGATGTACTTGTATATGCCCATCTTGTCTTACCTGATGGCTGCCACCAGACCTATGGGTGTAATATTTTTTATCTGGAGCCATTAATTATGGTGTGTTTTAAGTTTTTCTTTGATCCCTCTGTGTTCTCAAGAGTTCTTTTCATGTTGAGGCTTTTCTTAAATGCCTGATGACATTTGTCTATGCAATCTTATTTAAAAACAAGGCATTAAACAGCAGAGTAGAAAATCTTTATGTTGGATTAGGCATTGCTGACTAAGCTTCAGAGGTTAAGACAGTTATTTTTGCTGAGGAACTTCCAAATGTCAGAGTTACACAGATCATCTCTCTGGAACTATTTGTAGTCTCCAGAGAAGATCTTCTACTATTCAAAGTTAATATTCTATAAACTTTGTAGGTAGCTTTCTAGAAGCAGGAGGGGATGGTTTGTTCTGTCATTCAGTGCGTAGACATCCAGGTTGTATTTAAATTTTTCTGTTTTGAGTCTAGTACTTTGCTAACTGATATAGTAGCTATTTAGCCACATTTGTGTATTTAAATTTAAAAATTTAATATAATTAAAAATTTAGTTCTCTTATAGCACTAGCCATACTTCAAGTGCTCATAGATAGTGGTTACTGTAATAGATAGGACAGACAGAGAACATTTTCAGCATCACAGAAAGTTTTGTTGAGCAGTGCTGGTCTAGCAACTTACCCTTGTTCTATGCTGTGCTTTGTGGTATCCATGCTTGGTACCTTTCTGTTTTGTGCCCACTCACAAGTATAATTCTGTGTGGGAGTGGGGAAGAGATAGTCACTTACCTGGATTAGGTTGTAGGATCTAGAATCAAATTTTACCTATTCTGACTTAAAGCTACTTACAGTTCTTAAAATGTTGTCTCATCCCTGCATTGTGTTCAAGTTCTCAAACTTCTTTTAGATTCTTTAGGACATATCATCTTGCCTCTATTTCTCCCCTGTAGATACTTAAATTTCATCTTGTTCAGTTCTATTAGGTTTATTACCACTTCTTCACTCATTTTTATGTATTATTGTTGATATCTTTTTTATCTGACATTTGTTGTTATCTTCTTTTTCCTTCATCTTTGGGTTTATACTTTTTAAAAATTGCTGTGGTCATAGTGGAGGGAACAGAAATAACTCATGCTTGCTTAATTAAGTTTATGTTTTCTTAACTTTATTTGTCTAAAAATATTGAGTTTCTGGTAGATTATGTTCATTGCTATTATTTAGTTGGATGGAAGACTTTATTCTACTAGATTCTTCACTGGTAAAATTGAACAACATGAGAGATAGGGATTAGTGATATATTGGATACACTTTGAATTATGTCATGCTAAAATTTTTCTGTTAATGGATTCTCTTCAATAGAAATAATCTAATTAAAGGTGAGTTTTAGTGTAATACTTTTAAAGAAAATGTGTTTATCCCTTATAATGTTTGTGATTATCAAACATATCTAACCTTACACTCTTTAGATATAAATGACTTAAGGAGTAGGATTTCATTGGCTTGGCTTTGCATTTTTATCTCTTTAGTTTAGTTTTTTTGTTTGTTTGTTTTGGTGGAACTGGGGATTGGTTTATATGTGCTAGGCAAGTGCTCTGCATCTCCAGACCTTTTTTTTTTTTTGTAGATGGAGACAATATCTTTATTTTAATTATTTATTTTTATGTGGTGCCGAGGATCAAACGCAGTATCTCATGCATATGATGCAAGCACTTTACCACTGAGCCACAATCCCAGCCTTCCAACCCTTTTATAATTTCATTTTGAGATAAGGTATTGCTAAGTTGCCCAGGCTGGGCTTGAATTTATAATCCTCCTGTCTCAACCTTTAAAGTAGATGGGATTACAGGCATGTGCCACTGTACCCAACCAGAATATTCTTAATATTCATTCATTACTTGGAAAAATAATATTAAGGATTTCATGCATTCCTCTTGTACTATCTCTTGGAAGTACTGTGGAAGAAGCTTGAAGTTTTTCTAGCTGTGGGTAAATACAAAGAGGTATATAGGTTTTTTCCTGCACCACTGTAGTGCAATGAAGGTGTGCATTTGATAGGTGACCAATCATAAAAGAAGCACTACTTCTACTTTAGAGATGAAGGTACATTATCACATGCACTGCTTTTAAATTGTGAATGGAGTAAGAAACTTCAGATGTAAAGGCAACAATATAGCAAATCACTGGTATTAAAATACAAGAGAACAGGCGTGGTGGTGGCACAGACCTGTAGTCCCAGAAGCTCTGGAGGCTAAGGCAGGAGGATTGAGAGTTCAAAGCCAGCCTCAGCAATAGAGGGGCACTAAGCAATTCAGTGAGACCCTGTCTCTAAATAAAATATAAAATAGGGCTGGGGATGTGACTTAGTGGTTGAGTGCCCCTGAGTTCAATCCCTGTAACCCCCCCCAAAAAAGAAAAAAGATAGAGGAGAATTGACATTTTGTATAAATTATGTTTAGTCTTCTCTGTGTTAGCATATTTAATGTTTAGCTTTGGTTATCTGTGTCACGTTTTTCTCTAGTTATTAGGAATAGTCATGTGTAACAAGTGAAGTTGACTGATTTCAGAACGTTTGGGCCAGATGGATCTTAAACATCCTTTGCTTCAACTCTTCCCTTGTACAGGTGAATGGACTGAGGTGTACAGCAGCCAGAGGTTGTTTAACATATATATGTAGGTCCAAAATTCTTTCCATTAAGCATACAACTCTATCCTATACAGCTTAAATTTTATTACAGAAAAGGTGTCAGACTTCAGGAGTTTTTGTTGGTTAAAGTTTTTTTTTTTTTTCTGGTTAAAGTTTAAAAATACTACATTAATGTGGGAGACGTTTTATTATAGGTTTTATTGTCAGACTAGAGAAAAATCTATAAGAGATTAAATGGCAGAGCCAGAGTGTCAGTTCATATGTCTCTGACTTCTAAGGAATTAGGATTTTTTATTGAGTTTTTCCTATGTAACAGGGACTTTATATGATATTTTTATAAACAGTAACTTTTCTTTTTTGGATACCTTTTATGAGTAAGCAATTCTCATGAAGTTTAAAAATAACTTATGTGTATATATAAAGGTTGTGAGAGTGGACATCCTTATTCGTAAGTTCCATTAGGAAAAACATATCCAGTCTTTTACCATTAAGTAAGATGTTATCTGTGGATTTTTCATAGGCGCTCTTCTCTTTCAGGAAGTTCCCTTTCTATTCCTACACTATATTTTTGTTTGTTTCGTTGGTTGTTGTTGTCATTTTGTTTTGTTTTATTCACGAAAGGGTCTTGAATTTTGTGAAATGATATTTTTTCTGTTTATGGAGATTATCATGTGATTTTTGTTTCTTAGTCAATTTATACAGTGTCTTACATTAATTGATTTTGGATATTAAATCAACTTTGTGTTTCTGAAATAAATACTACTTGATCATGGTATATAATAATTTGTGTGCAAATGGATTTGGTTTGCTAGTATTTTATTAAGGATGTCTATGTCTATATTTTAAAAATACATTGGTGTGTAGTTTTCTTGTGAGTGTTTTGTCTGACTTGTTACTACTTTTGTCAACCTAATTGTTTTTCCTTTTGCTTAGCTAATGGCAGCATTAGCTGCTGTTGGGCCTCCTAATCCTCGGGCAGATCCAGAATGCTGCAGTATTCTGCATGGTCTTGTTGCAGCAGTGGAAACGCTTTGCAAAATTACTGAATATCAACATGAGGCTCGTACTTTACTCATGGAGAATGCAGAACGTGTTGGAAATAGAGGACGAATAATCTGCATTACTAATGCAAAAAGGTGTGGATATTAATCATAATAATCCTTTCACTGAGGGAATTGTCATTCCTATTATGGTTTACATATAAACACTTAAACACATTGCAAGTGGATTTTTAATTTTTTTCCCCTTTAAAATTAATGCTGCATTTATCCAATTCTAAATGAAGACTCATCTCTGTGAAAACTGTGTTGTCATGTAAATTGATTTGATTATTATTTTTTTTATCACTAGTTTTTCAGATAGTTGTTTGGTATTGTGAATGAACACACTAAAGACAATCCTTA